CTGTTATTATGGCTATTTCTGTGTTGTTATTATGGTTATTTCTTTGTTATTATGGCTATTTCTGTGTTGTTATTATGGCTATTTCTGTGTTGTTATAATGCATATCGCTGTCTTATTCTTGGACATTCAATACGTGTAAAATCCCACGACACCAACAACCGTTCGAAGAAGACTCTCCCAAGCTCACCAGAAAGTCTAAAAAAAAAAAAAAAAAAAAAAAAAAAAAAAAAAAAAAAAAAAAAAAAAAAAAAATAATAATAATAATAATAATAAATATATAAATAAATAAAATCAAATCAAATAAATAAATAAAAATAAATAAATAAAAAAAGGTTTTCCCACTCCGCCTCTCTTCCAGAACGACGGGGCCCTCAACCTGACCCCGACGGCGCGCTCCCTCCTTCAGTCGTTTGGCGTGAACCGCCCACGCCCTCCGCTTCCGCAATAACCTCGCGTGGGTGGGCACGGTGGGCGGGAGGACCTGGGGGGAGGCTGCCACGCCCAACGTCGACGAGAGGGGAACCACGGGGTCCTGTGGTCCTCCCCGTGGTCCTCGAGGTGCAAGTTCCTCGACTTCCTTCGGGTGAGGGGGAGAGACGACCTCGAAGCTGTTCCGTAGAATAAACGATAATTCTGTTATAGGATATATTTGGGTTTCTCCTAGTGGAGTCCTAAATTCTGATAATTCTGATATAGGATATATTTGACTTTCTCCTAGTGGAGTCCTAACTTCTGAATTCTGATATAGGATATATATTTGGGTGTCTCCTAGTGGAGTCCTGATATATAAATTCTAAATTCTGAAGTCCTAAAAGATAATTTTGATATAGGATATATTTGGGTTCCTCCTAGTGGTCCTAAATCTCTATATAAATTCTAAATTCTGAAGTCCTAAATTCTGATAATTCTGATATAGGATATATTTGGGTGTCTCCTAGCGGTCCTAAAATTATATAAATTCTAAATTCTGAAGTCCTAAAAGATAATTCTGATATAGGATATATTTGGGTTCCTCCTAGTGGTCCTAAATTCTGATATATAAATTCTAGATTCTGGTCCTAAATTCTGATAATTCTGATATAGGATATATTTGGGTTTCTCCTAGTTGAGTCCTAAATCTCTATATAAATTCTAAATTCTGAAGTCCTAAAAGATAATTTCTGATATAGGATATATTTGGGTTTCTCCTAGTTGAGTCCTAAATTCTGATAATTCTGATATAGGATATATTTGGGTTCCTCCTAGTGGAGTCCTAAATTCTGATATATAAATTCTAAATTCTGGTCCTAAATTCTGATAATTCTGATATAGGATATATTTGGGTTCCTCTAGTTGAGTCCTAAATTCTGATAATTCTGATATAGGATATATTTGGGTTCCTCCTAGTTGAGTCCTAAATTCTGATGAAATTCTGTTATAGGATATATTTGGGTTCCTCCTAGTGGAGTCCTAAAAGATAATTGTGATATAGGATATATTTGGGTTTCTCCTAGTGGTCCTAAATCTCTATATAAATTCTAAATTCTGGTCCTAAAAGATAATTCTGATATAGGATATATTTGGGTTCCTCCGTTGTCCTAAATTCTGATATATAAATTCTAAATTCTGAAGTCCTAAAAGATAATTGTGATATAGGATGTATCTGGGTTTCTCCTAGTTGAGTCCTAAATTCTGATAATTCTGATATAGGATATACTTGGGTTCCTCCTAGTGGAGTCCTAAATTCTGATATATAAATTCTATATTCTGGTCCTAAAAGATAATTGTGGTATAGGATATATTTGGGTGTCTCCTAGTGGAGTCCTAAATTCTGATAATTCTGATATAGGATATATTTGGGCTTCTCCTAGTTGTCCTAAATTCTGATATATAAATTCTAAATTCTGAAGTCCTAAAAGATAAATTGTGATATAGGATATATTTGGGTTCCTCTTAGTGGAGTCCTAAATTCTGATATATGATATATCTACGTGTCTCTTTGTGAAGTCCTAAAAGATAATTCTTATATAAGATATATTTATAATTCTGATGTAGGATATATTTGCGTGTCTCCTAGTAGTCCTAATTCTGATAAATGATTTACCTACGTGTCTCCTAGTGAAGTCCGGAAAGATAGTTCTGATATAGGATATATTTGGGTTTCTGATGAAGTCCTAAATTCTGATATAGGATATATTTGGGTTCTTCCTAGTGTTGTCCGAAGTTCTGATATGTGATATATCGACATGTCTCCTAGAGAAGTCATAAAAGATAGTTGTATTATAAGATATATTTGCGTGTCTCCTAGTAAAGTCCTAGCTTCTGATATATGATATATCTACGTGTCTCCTAGTGGTCTTAATTTCTGATATACGATATATCCACGTTTCTCTTAGTGAAATCCTAGATTCTGATATATGATATATCTACGTCTCCTAGTGGTCCTAAAAGATAGTTCTGATATACGATATCTACGTGTGTCCTAGTGAAGCCCCAATTCTGATAAATCCTTTATCTACGTGTATCTTAGTGAAGTCCTAAAAGACAGTTCTGATATAGGATATATTTGGGTTTCCAGTGAAGTCCTAAATTCTGATATACGATATATCTACGTGTCTCCTTGTGAAGTCCTAAAGAATTCTCATAAATGACATAGTCCTAAAATCCCAAACGATCATTCAGATATAGGACACATATAGGAAAAACAACCTTACAGCCTTACGATACCCGACCACAAACCTTCCACCACAGAGTCTTCTTGCTTCCCCACGAGCGAGCCCCGAGAAGCTGCCAGGGCCTCCTTCTCTGCGCCGCCACGACGGCTACGGGACCCTGTGCTCCTGCGAGAACCCGGCTCCTCTCACCTACCACCCGCCTGAGGTCAGAAACATGTGCTACAACAGCATGGTATAGAGAGAGGGATAGAGGGAGAGGGAGGGAGAGGGATAGAGAGAGAGGGAGAGGGAGAGGGTAGAGAGAGAGAAAGAGAGAGAGAGAGAGGGATAGAAGAGAGGAGGGAGGGATAGAGGGAAGAGGGAGAGGGAAGAGGGAGAGGGAGGGATAGAGAGAGAATAAGATAGAGAGAGGGAGAGGGATAGGAGAGGAGGGGGAGGGGATAGAGAGAGAAGGAGAGGGATTGAGAGAGAGGGGAGAAAGAGAGCCAGAGAGAAGACAGAGAGAGACAGAGGGATAGAGAGAGATAGAGAGAGATGGAGGGAGAGAGAGAGAGAGAGGCAGGAGAAGAGAGAAGACAGAGAGAGATAGGGGAGAGAAAGAGTTGCAGAAGAAACTGAAACCATGCTAACCACACGTTCTAAGTAACGCGCAGAAAAGATCAGTGAAATAACATATATATATATTATATTATTATATATATATATATATATATATATATTATATTATATATATATATATATATATAATATTAATAAAGAAGTTTAATAACCATAGATCGTAAACTAACACACATACGTTAATAAAAGGTATATAAAGATAAATAAACGAATATATAGATAGATAGATAAAAAATGAATAAATACATATACATATATATAATAAATGAAATATATATATAAATGATAAATATATAAAAATGATTAAATAGTAACTAGTAGATAAATAAATGAAAAAAAAACAACCGTTCTTACTCACCCTCCACGTGACATCAACAGCTAGCAGACAGCGCCATCGACGGTCCGTCCTGGTCATAGTGGCTGACAACCGACCACCTTATCTCTACAGGTAACACCCTTCACATCACTCAATATCTTAAAACCTCTTAAACCGAAGACAAGTTCCTTCCATGGCTACTAAACCCGATGAAAAAAGAGGTGGACGACAGATATAAAATCCTTATTTACGTTCTAGGACCCTCGTGACGGTACTCAGGCAGCCCGGAGGACACACTCGAAGGATTCTTGTGTATGTACACGGCCACCATCCGGAGGTTGTCGAGCTCCTTGAACTTCTACAGGTACTTAGAGTGTCAAGAATCCCATTGGGGGGTAGGATAAGTGACATAATGAGGGAAGGTGAGTCATTTGACTATCTTCCTCAACAGAGATATATATAGATGGAGAGAGAGATGGATATATATATAATATATATATATATATATATATATATATATATATATATATATATTATATATATATATATATTATATAGGAAAGAGAGAGAGAAGAGAGAGAGAAAGAGAGAGAGAGAGAGAGAGAGAGAGAGAGAGAGAGAGAGAGAGAGAGAGAGAGAAGAGAGAGAGAGAGAGATAAGAGAGAGAAGAACAGAGACAAAGAGAGACATAACGTGATCGACATAGCCAGACAGCTAGACAGACAGAAAGACAAGAGACCGAACCAAAACACAGAGTAGAGAAGACCCCCACATCACGCCCTCCTTCCCGCCCATTCTCAGGTCCCTTACGAGGAGGACCTGGTCGAGGTCGACAGCCAGATCGAGGGTAAGATCGCCGAGCACTACCGCAAAGCCCTCGAAGCCGCCCCCGTTTCCCTGAGGCTCCTAAGGCTATTCTGCTGGAGGAGGACCTGCTCGTTGCCCCAGACTTCTTCAGGTGAGCGCCGGAGTGGGGGAAAGACCCGTATTGCGTGTGTGTGTGGGTAAGTGCGTGTGTATTTATGTTTGTGTGTGTGTGTGTGGGTAAGTGCGTGTGTATTTATGTGTGTGTGTGGGTAAGTGCGTGTGTATTTATGTGTGTGTGTATTGATTTTGTGTGTGGGTAAGAGCGTGTGTGTTTATGGGTGTGTGGGTAAGTGCGTGTGTATTTATGTGTGGGTAAGTGCGTGTGCGTGGGGGGGGGGGGGGGTAAGTGCGTGTGTATTGTGTGTGTGTGAGGGTAAGTGCGTGTGTATTTATGTGGTGTGAGGGTAAGCGCGTGTGTATTGTGTGTGTGTGTGGGGGGGTAAGTGCGTGTGTATTGTGTGTGTGTGTGGGGGTAGGGGTAAGTGCGTGTGTATTATGTTGTGTATTTATGTTTGTGAGGGTAAGTGCGTGTGGTATTTTATGTGTGTGTGAGGGTAAGTGCTGTTGTGTTTATGTGGTGTGTGTATTTATTGTGTGAGAGTAAGTGTTGAGAGTAAGGTGTGGTGTGTGTATTTATGTGAGTGAGGGTAAGTGCGTGTGTGTTTTATGTGTGTATTTATGTGTGTGTGAGGGTAAGTGCGTGTGTATTTGTGTGTGTGTGAGGGTAAGTGCGTGTGTATTTATGTGTGTGTGTTGTATTGATGTGTGGTGAGGGTAAGAGCGTGTGTGTTTTATGTGTGTGTGGTAAGTGCGTGTGTATGGTGTGTGTGTGTGTGGGGGGGTAAGTGCGTGTGTATTTATGTGTGTGAGTGAGGGTAAGCGTGTGTATTGTGTGTGTGAGGGTAAGCGCGTGTTGTGTTTATGTTTGTGTGAGGGTTAGAGCGTGTGTATGTGTGTGTGGGTAAGAGCGTGTGTGATTATGTTTGTGTGTGAGTGTAAGTGCGTGTGTATTTATGTATTTTTTACTCCCCTTCCCCCTTTATTCACCACCCCTTTCCCACTTTTATCACCCCTCCCTTCCCCTTATCCCCCCTTTCTTATCACCACCCCTCCTCATCTTCCCCTCTTATCCCCCCTTCCCCTCTTATCACCCCTCCCCTTCCCTCTTATCACCCCTCCCCTTCCACTTTTACCCACTTTCACTTCCCTTCCCCCTCTTATCACCCCCCTCCGCTTCTCTTCCCTCTTATCACCCCTCCCTTCCCCCTTTTTATCACCACTCCCCTTCCCACTTTTATCACCACTCCCCTTCCCCTTTCATCACCCCTCCCCTTTCCCCCAGTTTCTTCAACCAAACGGCCTGGCTGCTTGACCACGACTCCAGCCTCGTGTGCGTGAGTGCCTGGAATGACCTTAGCAGCTTGCACGTGGCCCATGACCCCAGCTTGTTGCGCCGCGTGGAGACCTTACCTGGCTTTGGGTGGATGCTCACGAGGCATCTGGCGGAGGAATTGCTGCGGGCTTTGGCACTGGAAGAAGAAGGTGGGGTGTCCTGCGGGTTTGGGTGGGTGGCGGTGGGTGGGTAGGGGGTGGGGCGGGATTGCAAAAATGGCGGTTTTGTTGTGTTTTAATCTCTTTGTCTTTCTGGATCTCTCTGGCTCTCTTTCTCTCTGTTGCTCTTTCTCTGTCTCTCTTTCTCTCTGTTCTCTTTCTCTGTCTCTCTTCTCTCTGTTGCTTTGCTTTGCTTGCTCGCTTGCTCTCTTTCTCTTTCCTCTTTCTTTCGTTCTCTCTCTCTCTCTCTCTCTCTCTTCTCTCCTCTATCTCCTCTCTCTCTCTCTCCTCTCTCTCTCTCCTCTCCTCTCTCTCTCTTCTCTCTCTCTCTCTTCTCTCTCCTCTCTGTCTCTGTCTGTTCTGTCTGTCTCTTCTCTCTCTCTCTCTTGTTTCTCTCTATTCTCTCCTCTCCCTCCCTTCCTCCCTCTGCCTCTATGTAGTCCCTTTTTGGTTTTGTTTTTCTCTCTAATTTATGATTTCTTTTTCTTGATAGAATTACAGAATATTGTGATATTGCCACCAGTGCTAACTTCACTACTGTTATTAATATAGTTATCATGGTCCTCCTTAATATTACTGCTATAATTATTTTGATCACATCTTTCTTTGGCAGAATAAAGTATTTTTAGAGAGTACATTTCTGTTTAACATTGTTTTGTTTAATTCTTTCATCTTTATGTGGAAATCAAATAGAACTCTTTCATTTTTATCCTGTAATTAGATGAGCCCTCAAGAATGTCATAAGTATATTTTAAAAAAAATTTCCTTTACTGTTAATCCAAATTTCTTTTACACCGGTTCCTAAAGACAACAACAACAACAACAAAAAAAAAAACAAAAATGTTCAAATAATATATTTTTTATTTCCTTTACTGTCAATCAAAATTCTTTTCCAAACAATACACACAATCTTTTCCCTTTTCCTTCAGCCAAAGAAGAAAATCACACTAACTCTGCCAGTTCCCAAAAAACAAACCAAAACAAACAAACAAACAAAACACGACAACAAACCCAAAAAACAAAAACAAAACCAAAAACAAAAAACACAAAAAACAACGAAAAACCAACCAACCCAACCAAACAAACGACAAAAAACACAAACAAACAAAACAAAAAACCACAAAAAACAAAACGAAAAAAACACAAAAAAAAAAAAATCAAAACAAAAAAAATTTTCCAATAATTTTCCCTCTGGCTTCAACCTCACGCCCATCTTGCAGGACCAAGACTGGGACATATGGGCGCCCGGGATGGACGTCATCGGTGGGCGTGAGTGCGTGGTGCCAGACGTCCACCGCACTTTCCACATAGGCCTATCTGGCGCCCACAACCCAGGCCTAATTCACGCAGCCTTTTTCTCAGCCAGGCCTATGCCGGTAGAGAACTATGTGCAATTGAAGAATGTTGATAGGTAAGGATACGATTTTTTTTTTTTGAAAAGGTTGAATAGAAAACGGTGTTTATTTTCTCATTTTTATATGTTATTATTTTATT